GTGAAGAAATGACTCCGTTAATCAGGATTTCTACCTTTCGGATGTATTCAGGCGAATTCCCTGTGTAAAATATAGGTGGCCGCCATTTCGGCACTTTACACGTGGCCGCAGCCATTTTACGTGCGAACAGCGGTGTTTGCCCGTCAACGCGTGGAACTAAAATCGGATACGCAAACAGGCGAACACCGCTGAGACCTCCATACATCCAGAACTTCGCACGAGAACAACCGAATCACCGGCCGTTCGGTAGTTACATGCAACTTCGTATGGGGATTTCAACGATCACAAAGATGCGAACGGATGGCAGGGCTTTCGTCTCTTTTATTCGCCTAAACGGAGACCGACCGCAGGGCCAAAACTTATGGAACTATTTTCGGCTAGATGGTCCGTGCGGTCGGTCAAAACTTTAGTGTTCCATAACTCCCGAACCGTTCATCCGAATGGACTGATTTTTCGATATGTTGTCCACACAAATGAGAACTATCCAGCGGTACCAGATTTAAAGGTGTACCCCCTGTTTTTGGGGTACATCCAGAACTGGGGTAAAATAGTGCACGTTTTAATTAAGTTAACTGTTTATCAGAGGGGAGGGAGGTATGGGCTGTAACCTATTCCTGATTGGTGATTTAATGCCTCCCCCTGGGTGTGTATTTCTTGTCTGTAACCGTAATAAAAAGCAGGCTGGAGATTCCAGACCTCAGGTCTACTTGTATCCTGATTCTGGACTCTGACTGTTATTTGGGAATTCGTATGCTTTACCAAGGGGATTATCTTGGGAAGCTGTTATATTTCTTAGGGACTTCATTGCTTGGAACTACCTTAGACGCTGGCATTGCAGGAGGAATTATCAAAGCGGTTCAGCTATATGGGATTTCCTTACACTATCCATTTAACATTTCAGCATTTTGTAGGGATGTTAGCTTGTTTAGCAGGGATGATAAAAAAATTAGATTCTTGACTCTTTTAAAATAATAAAAAATCCATACTATGAAAATCCCGTGCTGTACCATATTTCACAAGACCATTGTTCTCTTTTGCCGGGATAGCATGCTGATTTTAAATATTTTTTTTTAATTTAATGTTACCTACAAAGCATTTTGTACTAAGTGAAGTCACTGTGATCTGGCATTTATATACCTGAACTGCATATGACAATCACTCAAGAATAAACTTGATAAAAGGCATTTTAAGAGTTTTTCTCAAAAGCATTTTGGAGATGAATGATGAATGGGGCTTGGTTTTCCTTATATTTTGAAAATAGGACCAATAAAATTATGATAGCATGCATATATCTGTTTAGTCTTGAACAAAAAAAAAAAACTATTTTGGAGAATCCTTGTCAAGGTTTTCAATAAACCAATGATCTTGACCTTTAAAAAAACCCAACTTGTCGAAGGCAGTATGGCTTAAACAAGGGTTATGAACATTATTGACTAATAATTATGGGGACTTGTGTAATATCATGTAAGATACATATTATTACTAACCCAGCATATAATATATAATGACCACGTACCATGAAGCCCACAGAGTGGTGGGAAAGGGACAATAAACACTCATAAAGGAGTTTATACCTTGTCAAGCTGTTGTGTAAGAGATATTGTTACACATTATTGCTAGAATGCATCCAGTTTTTAAAGCCACTATGGACATTATTTCTCAGTTAAAGGCTTAAAGAAGATTCTAATCTATAATTGTAATCCATTTACCTGAGTGACTCAAGTTGTCTAATCATTTCTAGTTTACCGCCTTGATGGAGAAAAGAAATACGTTGTAACACTTTAAGCGGATCTATCGCTATTTCTCAAATACCCCCAAAACGGACAGATCCAATATGGGTCTGATGGCCATGCGGTGCAGGGGGGCCGCCGCCATCTTCATGCTGCAAACCTATTCAGCTCTTGACACTTCAGTACTCAGGAGCCACATCAGTGCTGTGCAAGGAGGTCTGTGGAGAATCCTGCGTGACCACAGGTTCCTCCATAGACAGAGCCTGAATCCCACAGCCATCTTTTGTGACTGCTGCTAGGAGTGAACAAATGTTGATGGCAGAGCTCCGCCTATAGTCAACTTTTGTCAACCTCTGGATTTACTATAAAACAAAGTAGTCCCTGCTTTGTCTTACAGTATATTTGCATTGCATTGGAATTTAAATAAAAATGCCAGCACAATCTTGATCAGTATTTCATAAAGAATATAACTTCATGAAATTCTGAAAAGAGACAGATCCACTTTAAGTAACATTTTTTTTGAAAAAAAATCATTAAATTTACCGCTTGTTGCAATACGTCAAATCAATGGTTAGTCAAATTACATAGTGAGCATTTTAAGAAATGCGTTTGAATCTAGAGATTAAACGGGTGGAGGAAAGGAATAATTATTATCTCTGATCCACATATTAGATGACCGCCTGTATAATGGTAATTGCCTACATTCATTACAGAGGCAGGGCTGGACAAACTACTAGTCCTATTGGAAAAAATGACTTGAGGTGCGGTAACACGTCAATGTCTGATGGACCTCTTGGGAAGAAGTACTGCTAAATAGCTTTCTATTTCCAAAACTGCATAGATCCCACACCCCAAGTCAGTCTTGACCCAGAGATGGGAGTTGGTTCCCTGCCAATCAGGTCAATTTGACCCTGGTTACATAACTGGATCGAGAACAGACGTGTTGTCATTGAGCACAATAATGATAGCTAGCTTTCTTTCTGGATATCCCAGCTGTTTAAATCCTGAGAGGCTCCTGTTTTCCATCACTGTCTGCTTACAGAGCAAATATCACATTTTCTCCACGTACTACATAAATCACCTGCTATTAATATACTTTTTTTTAACCTTCGGCCATATGAAAATTGGAAACTGTTTCTCCATTGTAAATGTCTTCTTCGGCACCTCTGCCATTCCTCAAGACTGACTGACCTAAGCTTCAAGATATTTATTTTTACTGCCAACTACACCATAGCTCAAAGGGCCTCCTTAATGCATTCCATGATAGGGTCCAGTTTTAACCTGCAAATAATTTCATCTGTACATTGTGCTAGACAAAGAGACGAAGATTAAAAATTTGTTTCCTGAGATGGACTCAAGGTTAGCACATGGACATTTGGTGGACACTTGCGCTTTACCCAGCATCCCCTGTTATCTGTCTTGGAAGAGATTAAATAAGATTGTGGATATAAATTCTGTTCTATAATTGTGTTATTTGCAACAAATTCAGATATTTGTAGATTATAGAGAGAATCGTATGCATTAAAGTCTCCTCAAAGTTTCTTTAACTGGAGTATTTTTTATTTATCATATGATTGTTATTATTGTTAGAATAAAAAAGTGCAGAAATCTTCCATCTATTTCCCAAGTCTGCTGGGTTTCTCAATCAAATCTGTTGCAGTAATCTGTTGCAGTCATCAGACTTTTATTCGGCTGTTTATTTCCAAGTCATGTGTTCTAATCTATATGTCTATAACAGCTAATGTAATTGAATTATATGTACCCTATAAAGAGGCTTACAGGAGCTTGGCCAAGCTGTAAGCAGTCACATAGAATCCGACCTGCCTAACTTCCATTAGCTAGAATATTTGACAGCCCCTAAATAGATATTGTGTAGCACAAGCTATGGAATTTATAATTACACTATTCACTTAACAGTAAGTTGGCAACTTTATTATAACTGGTGCCATCATGACCACCAAGCTGTTAAAAAAAAAAGTAAAAAATTCTAGTCATTTCAGTTTTGCTATTTTTGTCTAAATCTTGCAACTTGGTCCTGAACTATTTAGTGCAAAAAAAAAAAAAAAAAGTAATAATAATTGCAGAACTTAATCTATTTACAGAATAGTTTTGTCCTTGTAAAATGGTAGTACGTAGCAAGACTGCAGGCAAATACATACATAAAGCCATATTGCGCACGTTTTAAGTACTTTAAAGGGATGTGTTATTCTGGAAGTGACCCTGTTTTCTTAATGCATTATTTGTTTATGACTAGCATTTATAAAGCACCAACATATTCTGCAGCGCTGTACAATCGGGAAAAAGACAATACAATAAGAACAGACCGATACAACAGGTAGAGGGCCCTGTCCGTGAGCTTATATAGACAATACAGTGAAAATGTACTAAAAGAAAATAAATGAAGACGTATTTACCTTTTAAAGATCATGAAACTGAAACACTTGCACAGGCAAGTATCTTCAGTCGGCAAAGAGGTTCCGACAAAACAGGCAAATTGCAAAACCTTATATTTTTTCAGCTCAGCAATTACAGCCTAAATTATGTGATTCCCTGGTCAATTCTCTACACAGTTTAATAAATACCCCTGACAGTCTATAATAAGTTTACCCATATTACATGTTACATGCACTTGTAATGTCATAATCTCTTTCTTTAAATGGGAAGACATTGCCCTCTAGTGGTTGGTTTTTGCAAAATAAAAAGTTTGACATTTATCACATTTTCCTTGCAACTGTAAAAAGCAAGAATTTAACCCCTTATGGACACATGACATGTGTGACATGTCATGATTCCCTTTTATTCCAGAAGTTTGGTCCTTAAGGGGTTAAAGTGAATTTCAAATTAAGCCTAGATGGAAGCTTAGCTGACATAGATCATTTTTCCAATTTTGACCTTGAATTTGAAATTCTCCCCCTGTCACAATTGTTATGGCATCCTAAAATAGGATTTTTAGAATAACTCGCATTATATTGAGTTTATGTTTGTTGTAAAAAAAAATATATATATATTATATGTATACTTTGTATATATATATATATAGCACAGAGCGAAAGCTGTAATTCACCCAATAAAAGTAGCGGCCGACTGAAGACTCAAGTTGAAGCTCAATACATTTTACGAAGCTACTGAAATGTTCATGTGTGCTATCAGTTTTTTTAAACCTAGAATTAGAATGACATTAACCATGCAGATTATGGATTTTAGAGACCTCCTATATTTAACTGTGTATCCTTAGATTTTGTATAGTGACTGTTGTCTGTTCTGTTTCTCCAATTCTATATACAGCACTGCAGGACATGCTACAAAACTGCAACACACTTGAAGACACAGAGGAACACGGAAAATACAACAAACGTGGTGCTTCTGATGTCTGCCAATACTACCGGTTACTAGTCTTCCATTCAAAAATGAATACTCTTAGACAACCCCTGTTTCCTCATGGAAACTTGAGCTCTCAGCCCATGTGTTATGTGTCTTTACTGGTACTTCATCAGAGAGTCTGATGAAGTACTAGTAAAGGTACTAAATGCATCAGTGCTGATCCCTCACATACGCTATATGTCCTAGCCGTATGTCTATTTTATTTGAATAAAGGTGACTTTATCCTCTTCCTGTGGATTGAAGTATTTTTTTTTATTTCTGATGGAGGCTATCCAGCAATTTAGTCAGGCTTAGTGTTTTATAGCAGTATCACAGCCTGTATGTCCATCTCCCAGGATACAGATACCTTTTGGATTTGCTCTGTAATACATTCTAGTGTTTTTTCAGCAGTAACATCACTGCAAATCGTGTGATTTCTGTGGGAAAAGCAAGTCTTATGGCTTGACTGGTGTGCAGATTTTTGTTTAACATTGTATTAACTATCCACAGACTTCAGGTGGAAGGGGTTTTCAATCACATTTTTTCCCCACCATAACCTATTTGGATTTTATATATATATATATAAACCCAAGAGGGCTGCATTCACCTGAACATGCATACATTATAGGGTGCTGATGGGGCCAAAATATACAGATTGTAAGATTATGATCATATAATGTTACTAAACCCCCATTGTTGTTTTGACTAGGTGAGGTGTTTTTAAATAAAACTACTACAATCTGTAAGATTTTAAATTAATGTTTAGTGAATAAGTGAGTGCGCTGGATTGTATATTCTGTATTTTGTATATTTTGGCCCCAGCAGCACCCTATAATGTATGCATGTTCAGGTGAGTGCAGCCCTCTTGGTTTCATTTATATATTTAGGAGTCCAGGCCAACTCATTGTTTTTTCACCCCTCCCTGTAACAGGTGCCTCATTCCATGACCCTATTTAGCCTTGACTTGCAGAGAGTCCCAGTAAGGAAGCATTTCCCAAGTGGATTAATCTCATAAGAGCAAGCATTAGGCTGCTAGAGTAGGACCTGCCAAGAATGGGGTACATTGACGTTGTGGCAGGCTTATGCAATATATGATCTTATAATGTAACTAAACCCCCATTATTTTTTGCCCCCTCTCTTGGACAAAGGTAACAAAAGATAGGGAATAAACATCTAACTTTTTAACAACCGGTTAATATTACTTATATATGTAATATTTATTTATATTTTTCTTACCATTTGCACCCTAAAGCCACTGTCCCATGCACACTACAGCCTCTTCATGCACAGCAGCTGTTGTACACACACTTAAGCCTCTATACACACGCACAAACACACAGACACACGCACACACACAAAAACACAGACACACATACACACACACACAAAACAGCCTCTATACAAATACACTGTAACCCTGTACACACTCACCAAAGTCCATATGCATGAACATTACAACCCCTAGATATATGTATATACCATACAGCCCCTATAAACATACACACACAACATATACTACAAATGCAAATGGCACAATAAGTGACTATAATAGCTCAAACACCCGTGTGGTATCCCCTATACCAACACAAAAGTACATGCAATACAAACACAACACCATTGTGTTTGTATTGTAATACACACACAACAGCCCCTATACACACCATAGCCTCCTTTAATCCTTTACATGCATACTACACTACAAATTGTTGCAACTACACGCGTGTACATATACACACAAACACACTGACAGACACACACACATTCTTTGACAGACATACACACTCACACACGGACACAGTCATTGACTCACATACTGTTTAACCAACATACACTTCCACTGACAGATACAAACTGCCCCACCAACTCACTGACAAACCCACACTCTCAGATACACATAGACTCACTGACATGCACACACTCACTGACAGACACACACCCTTGCTGATTTAACACTGACAGTCACTTACACTCATTGACTGACACACACTCTCATTGATTTGACATACACCGACAGACACTCATAGACATGCACACATTCATAGAAACATAAAAACATCGAATGTGACGGCAGATAAGAACCATTCGGCCCATCTAGTCTGCCCAATATTTTGAAATACTTTTAATTAGTACCTAACCTTATCTTAAGTCTAGGATAGCCTATCCCACGCATGCTTAAACTCCCTCAATGTGTTAACCTCTACCACTTCAGCTGGAAGGCTATTCCATGCATCCACTACCCTCTCAGTAAAGTAATACTTCCTGATATTATTTTTAAACCTTTGCCCCTCTAATTTAAGACTGTGTCCTCTTGTTGTAGTAGTTTTTCTTCTTTTAAATATAGTCTCCTCCTTTACTGTGTTGATTCCTATGTATTTAAATGTTTCTATCATATCCCCCCTGTCTCGTCTTTCCTCCAAGATATATATGTTAAGATCCTTTAACCTTTCCGATAAGTTTTATCCTGCAATCCATGAACCAGTTTAGTAGCCCTTCTCTGAACTCTTTCTAGAGTATCAATATCCTTCTAAAGATACGGTCTCCAGTACTGTGTACAATACTCCAAGTGAGGTCTCATGAGCACTTCCCTCTTTCTACTGCTAATACCTCTCCCTATACAACCAATCATTCTGCTATCATGTCCTGCTGCTCTATTACATTGTCTGCCTATCTTTAAGTCATCAGAAATAATCACCCCTAAATCCCTTTCCTCAGATGTTGAGGTTAGTATTCTATCAAATATCCTATACTCTGCCCTTGGGTTTTTATGTCCAAGGTGTATTATCTTGCACTTATCCACATTGAATGTCAGTTGCCACAGCTAGCTTACCTAAATCATTTGCTATTTGGCTTATCCCTCCTGGAACATGAACCCTGTTACATATCTTAGTATCATCAGCAAAAATACATACCTTACCATCAAGACCTTATGTAATATCACTAATAAAAATATTAAAGAGAATGGGTCCAAGTACTGATCCCTGAGTTACCCCACTGGTAACAAGACCTTGCTTCGAATGTACTCCGTTGACAATAACCCTCTGTTGCCTGTCATTTAGCCCCTGCCTAACCCATTCAACAATATTGGAAACCCAACTTAAAGATTGCAGTTTATTAATAGGCCGTCTACATGGAACAGTGTCAGACAGACACACACATACTGACAGACACACACACTCACTCACTCACAGACACACATACACTCACTTACTCACGGATACACACTAACTGACTGACACACTGACAGTCTGACACACACATTCACTGACAGACATACACACTGACAGATACACAAACACTAACAGACACACACACACTGATATACACTCACTGACAGACACACTGACCTACAAACACTCACTGAAAGACACACACTTGCAGTCACACACACTAAATTACAAACACACCCAAATTCACTGACAGACACACACACTCTCACTGACAAACACACACATCACTGATAGACACAGACTCTGACTGATTTGACACACACACTGACAGATACTCACAGACACACATACTCTGACCGAAACACACATTTTCTGACAGCTACACACTTGCAGTCACACACACATACACACACACTCACTGACAGACACCCACATTCACTTACAGATACACACAAACACAGTGATAGACACATACACACACATTCATTGACAGACACATACACATTCACTGACAGACATACACTCATTTACAGACACATACACATTTCCTTACACACTCACAAATTAATGTATTTTTTTATATTTATTTATTAAGTTCACCCAGCCTTTATACCTTTGGGAGGAGATAGAGTGGATTCCAGTGTTGATCCTATCCCTGGGGTCCAGTGTGGCTGCCGTGACAGCCATCTTCTTGCTCTGTTCTCTCGTGTGCTGTTTAGTAATACTGGGGCTAGAGTGACATCATATTCTGGCTCCCAGCATTACTGCAGGACACGTAGGAGAAGGGAAAGAAGAGTACAGAGATAAGCACTCCCTCGCCACCTGTCTACATTATGCCCAGCCTCATGCCCAGGCCAACTCTTGGGGCCCCCCATGACAAGCAGAACACAGGTGGCCTGGTTGCACTCACGTAAGGAAAGTGCCACCCAAGGCAAATGACTTGTTAGCCTCTTGACAGATACAGTGCTTTTTTTTACAGTAAAATGTAAAAAAAATAAACCTGAGGGGTCAATAACTCAGCAGCCAGCAGTACTGGGGTTAAAAAAACCAAAAAAACTTGCAACTGGGCAGCTATTGCTATACTTACTACAGTTACTGTAGTGGTGAGGAAATTGCTGTGGTGGTGGGGTGCTGGCACTTCTTGGCATATTTGGGGGGGTAAGGTTTAACAATGGTGGTGGACATGTCACTGTCCACCATCCTACCCCACCTGCCACTTAGCAAACAAATATAGAAGCAATTTAAGCAGTCAGCATTGCACGTGTTGCAAGTTAGCATGTAAATCTTCCATGTTAAAATTAGTGCAGGACCCACCGATATTGGAGTACTGTGATGTAGTGGTGGGATTAAAACAATAAGGCCATATGGTGGAATTGAATCCCCATATTTGTTTGCTAATTTAAAACTGTATTTTTGTTTTTGTGTGTGCGCTGTTCCTTTAATTGTATTTGTGTATATATATATATATATATATATATATATATATATATATATATATATTGATCTTTACGGCAGCACCACTACTTAGAAATGCATGTTCTGGGTGTGCCCCCAACACATCATTTAAGAGAGAATCATTAAATATCCAGGACCAGCTTTTACCCTGGTTTTATGTAACTTAATAACCATCTGAACCCACATATGGTCTGAAGTGGTAAATTTGTTAAGAATTATAATCTATAAAAAGTTAATCAATTGTAAAGTACCTTTTATGAGTATGGGATAAGTGAAGAAAATTCTTAACATTCTGATGGCTAATTTGTCAATGGGCATATATTTTGGACCTCTGAATTCACTTTCAAATGAATTGTGATTTTTCTGAATTTTCAAAGATAGGCAGGTTGTTCAAATTCCATAACTCCAAAGGGCCATATCGACATATCACAAAACAAACAACACAGACAAAAGAAAGCAGTTTGATTCATTCGTAATTCGACATTACGTATGTGGCATTA